CTTGAAACTAGAACAGCCTATGTCATCGAGCGATTGGAACTAATTGTAAGCAAAAGAGCAAATCAAGAGAGATGAGTCTATTAATTACAATACAAGAATTCCCGTACAGCCAAATATTTGTGACCGAGCGCTCGCCGCTTACGTACCTTTAGCTAGAGGTTACTTGGCTCCCAGAGAGTTCACTAGACATCAGATCAGAGCTGCGTTCAGAAACGTCACCCGAACGCACTGGCGTATATTTTATCCTTGTTTAACATACGATGAGCAACAAGGATAGAATGATGGATCGGGTGGTGTTTCTGAACGCAGCCCAGTGTGTCGCGTGCGACAAATCGTCAAAGTTGAAACTTTTGTCGCGACGTCGCGTTCTTCACAGCGACGGATGTGACGTTGAGAAAAGCTGTGCGCTGATTGGATATCGCGCGTCGCGCGTCGCGTCGTCGCGCTGGTCTGCAAGAGCCATTACTCGAATGCGAAAGAGCACTCCGACGCCTTGGATTTGCAATGCCGAACGCAGCTCTTGCCGTCCCGCTCTCGCAGTCGCGCGGATCTTTGAAGGGTAGCACGCCAACGGCGGGAGTGCGGCCGTTGGGCGCGAGAAGCGCAGGGGAATAAAGGCGCCGACAAAAAGGGGGAGGGGATCCCGGGGGAAAATGATAACGCGCCGAAAAGGAACGGGATACCGGTAGTTCCGCGCGTGCCGTACCGAAAACCGAATTTCCAATTAGAAAACCGAAGAGTGGGCGCCAGACGCGGTCTCTCACGCGTTACTTCGCGATACCAACGAAATTACGCGAACGTGAATTACCGGCCTTCGGCACGGGCTGGCTAGCTCGTCTAACGGCAGAGGGGCTGGGTGGTGGTTGACAGAACGCAAAAGTTTACAAGAGGCGACGGAAAGATCAGGTTCTAAAGACGGACGGTACAGACAGGTAGCGACGCACACGAAAAGAAAGCCACTAATTAAAATAAATAGAGTCGGGTTTATTACAAAAGAAAATAAATAAAGATAAGTGACAAAAAGCGACGTAGAAAATGAGAGTAGGTACCTTCTGTAGGTACCTTGCTCAAGGAGAGAGTATGCGAACGAAACATCTCGAATTCAGAGTTGGGAAATCGACGGCCTGCAAAATAGTGCCAGAAGTTTGTCATGCTATATGGCTTGCCCTGCAACCAATTGTGCTTCCTACACTAGATGCTAATGGCTGGAAAAAAATAAGTGAAGAATACATGTTGAAATGGCAATTTCCAAACTGTATTGGTGCTCTGGATGGTAGACACATGGCGATCGAGAAACCTCCATGCTCTGGTTCACAATACTACAATTATAAGAAATTTTTCAGTATTGTGCTATTAGCACTTTGTGATGCAAATCATAAATTTACATGGGTGGACATTGGACAATTTGGTAGGTAATAGCGAGTCTTCTTTTAATAACTGACAAATTTATGGCACTTGGTTTTTTATCACCCTATATACTCGTAACTCGCGTAAACTACACGGTCGGTCTCGCGCGCGCGGTTCTAGCTTGTCGCTTTAACTTTGTCGCTTATAACTTGGCGCAAGACACTACCGTGTCTCGTGATACATGAAGTGTGCTTGATTTAACGTACAGGTTCAATTAGTGACGGTGGTGTGTGGAGAAATTCAGAATTAGCTGCAGATCTTGCTTCTGGTGATGCTGATCTTCCACCACCAACACCTCTGTCAGGAAGAGATGTTCCTTTCCCACATGTAATTGTAGCTGATGAAGCTTTCCCCCTTACCACATATCTTATGCGCCCCTATGCAAGACGTAATCAGTTAACAAACGAGCAGCGTGTTTTCAATTACCGGCTAACTAGAGCACGCCTCTGCATAGAAAACACATTTGGGATACTAGTATCACGCTGGCATATTTTACACAAACGATTGTGTTTTTCTGTAGCAAATGCAGAAAAAATTTTTAAAGCTCTTGTTTGCCTCCATAATTTTATTATTAATTCTAATAACGGTAATGATAGCTTTGCCTCTCAGTATTGCCCTCCTGATTGGCTCGGTGTTGAAAATGAGAATGGGCTTATTCATGATGGTCGGTGGAGGACTATTGGACCGGGTCAATTTTTTCAAGAGTTAGGTAGAACTGGAGCTAATCGAGGGGGGTCTGTGTCAGAAGGAATGCGTAATTATCTGAAAGAGTATTTTGTGTCTCCAGTTGGGGAAGCTCAGGCGCCCTGGCAATATGTGAGAGCTTTCCAAGACCGAACAATTAACCCTCCTGCATAGTATAATAATATATAATATATAATATATAATATAATAATATATATATACAGAGAGAAAGGTTTCTTTGGATTTAGTATTCCTATTTATTTGGTTGAAATTTGTTTCATTAAAACAATATATGCTTATACGAAACATATGTTTTGAATAAAAATTTTGTTGTTTTATTCAAACAACCTGTATTAAAATAAACTTTATGACTATGTAAAAATATATGTAATTAATATTTTAAATTCTCAAATCTAAATGACGTATTGTTCTGCAATGATTTACACAATAAAGTAACACCAATATGAACATATATAATATAAGTTTTAATTTTATTTCAGTGTATATATCTATTGTCATGTCAGCACTGAGTAAATTCAATGATAGATAAGATATTTCAAGATTTGAAATCATATTTCGATTCACGACATTTACAAGAGTTAATTGCATAGCTTTCCCGTAATTATAATAATTTCGAAACATTCTTTTCATTATTAAACGTTTGTTTTTGCTCCATAATTATACTTCAAATAAACATAATACTTAATTTTTAAAACAGTCCAAATATATCTTGATAAATTTTTCTTGTAACATGTTACGTAGTCGATGCATTATCATAATAATAAAGTTCACATTTTACTACTCGAGTTTCCTCTATTGTGATACACAGAAGATCAATCATCTTGAGATGGTTTCTTGTCCATAAAGCATGACATATCTGTTGATTTTATCAGTCTGGAGAATACATCAATTAATTCAAATCTACATTATTGCTTAAATTAATTACAATCAGGTTAATAGCGTTGCCTATATTGTCTATACATTGTAACTCGATTCATCAATATTACATTTGTTATGCTTATGATTTCCATTGAGGTATCAACGATTCTCAAAATGTGTGCAATAAAATAAATAGTATTTCAATATATGTACAATACTGCACAAAAAATCCAGAGCTTGATATATTACATTTTAACGAACAATAAAAACTTTAATTAGATAATCAACTATTAAACTAAGGTTGAAAAATAAATACTGGTAATATTACATCAACCGTTTATCGACGCATCGATGGACTGACATCGATACCAATCATTTCCGGCTGAGGAATACATTTAAACGACTGCGAGACGGCAGATTACAAAGTCTGCTTATCCACTTTTTTAGAGAACTCATTGATGTAATTTAAAATACCAATAAGACATTCAAGTTGCGTATTTTCCGGTACTGTATTTAGTGCGAATCCTATGGCACTCAACATGGATTGAGTACCAGAAAATGCGTTATTGACTATTGCAGTATTTTGTAATGGAGGTGGAGCCATGATTATTGCTTCACCAATCTTTGTTGCAAGCTCCGTCAATCCCTTACTCTGCTCGATTAAGGACTTATTAATAGTATCTGCTTCCTGTCGTTTTTTGATCGCAAACGAATCGGAACAGGGCACTTTGCGCTTGATACCGATGTTAGACATAGTTTTCTGAACCTGTGCTACTGCATTATCGCTTCCAGACTTCGAGGTTACTGAAGAAAGTGGTATTGCAGAAGACGATGAAAAATGGACCTCAGATAAATCTGTGGAGCTCTCGTCAGTACCTGGAAATGCAACAGAAGTACTTCAGATTATGTCATATTAAATCATAAAGACCTGACAATTTTCTTTAGTCTCCTCACTTATAAGACTTGTACGCAAGTTCGAATTTCAAGAACTGAATTCCAACATGTCTGAGCTAGCAGCTGCAGAAGAGGTAGAAGGAATCGTACAAACTATTGTTGCTTGACTATCAGGAGGAGGATCAGGAGGAGAAGGATCAGACTGAGACGAGAACGGTGCACATGTGCGAAGAACTGATATTTGACTATTTGCAGGAACTTTAGATTTATAATTCGATGAAGTTCTAGGATCAATATTACCAACCATTAATTATGTCATCGGCATTTGTCATTCAAAACTTCCTAGACCACAACACTTACTTCCTAGGTTTGATAATGTCCTCCAGAAATGTGAGATTCTTGTATAATGCCCAAGTAGGTGTGTATGTGGGCTGGTCTGCTCCAGCTCCAGATCTCGGAATAGACTGCACGACCTTTCTTCGCTCTTTCCCAAAGCGTTGTCTCAGAGCGTAAAATTTTTTCTCAACAGCAGCACCTAACAAATATATTACGTTTAATTCTAGTAAAATGCCAATTTTAAGTATTACATATTTTAAGTATTACTGACACAAGTTGACATAAATATCATTTTGTCCTAGTCATTCACTCGATGATGAAAAAAGACAAATTGACACTTGAAAATGGAAAACACCACTTTAAAAACAAATCGCTACAGAACCGTATCAATTATTTCAAAATAACCAAAATCAACTTACCTTCTAATGGGTAAGTGAGATTTGCGCCGATCTGTGCCCATGCGATGGTTTTAACATCCCCATTGGCGTACAATTTTTCGGTTTTGTTGTATAAAAACCGATTAGCTCGAACCATAGCAATTAATTCTCTACTGTTACCAATGTCACCTTCGTCTTCTATTAATAATAAAGATTCTGTGTCCGACATTGTCACGTATTTACACTGACCACGTGGCTAGGTTAAATTATTGATTCAACCAGCTCAACTGCCCAGTTCTCTTTTTTTTTTGCTGAGAGTAAGAGAGTAGGTCGTACGAAATGGAATTGAACCATTTCGCTTACAGCCTTACTCTACGCCTACTACACCGGAAACACGAGCTTACTCCGACGTCTTACAGCCTTAATCCACTACTCCTACTGCCATTGTAGACCACGCTTTACATCTACGGTCTTACAGCTACGGTCTTATACCTACGGTCTTACGTCTACGGTCTTACATCCACGGTCTTACATCTACGGTCTTACAGCTACGGTCTTACATCCACGGTCTTATATCTACGGTCTTACATCTACGATCTTACAGCTACGGTGTCAGGTCAGGCCGATCGGGAGCGCCCGATCGGGGTTAGCTCGCACGCTGGGAGTACCCAGCTGGAGACGGGAGAGCCCGTGTCCAGTGCGACGGGGCACCGGGAGAGCCCGGCCGGGTTAAGGCCAAAGACCGCCGGGGGTACCCGACGGCGGAGACTCGTACTCCGGGAGTACCCGGATGCGGACGGGGGCACCCGTCCGTTGTACGAAGGAGGTTGGGAGCGCCCAACGTGGTGAATCGGTATCGGGAGCGGTCGTGTCGGGATCGGAGCCGAGACAGGACTGGATGCCTCGGTTGCTCCGGCCGCTCGCTTTATACCCGCGAGACCGTGGCTGGCGGGGAGGCGCGGTGGAAGGGCTAGTCCCTTTCCTCGCTCGGTCGGTGCCCGGCGTGGGGCGTGCACGGAAGTATGCGTGTGGCGCATAGCGCCACGAGGCGGATGGTCGGCCCGGACTAGTGACGAGAGGGGCGGTTCGTCACATCTTTATGTACTTTAATTAGGTTGTTTAGTTTGTTGAACCCATAGAAGCTAATCCTTTTTTCCATGCTTGTGGAGAGCGATTTGAACTTGTTGGATATGTCAGGAACGTATGGGATAGAGAGAAAAGGTTTATCGTTAGTGGTACCGTGGTCAGTGTGATTGTCAGAATTTTTATTTATTAAGTAAGATAGTCTAGAAGTTAATGTTTTAAAAATAAAATCCAATGGTAACCATTAGAGAGTAACAAAGAAATTGCTATGTGTATGTTATGTTTGTGGAAAGACGGATGAGATAAAATAAAAGCTCTGTCAATCAGTGCAATTGTCACTGCTCTCTTTTGGTTGAGTGGATGATTGGAGAAAAAATTAAGATATCTTCCCGAAAACGTTGTTTTGTGAAACCAATTAAAAATCATTTTGTCATTTTTAAAAATTATGGTTATGTCGAGAAAGTTGAGTTCGTTATTAATAGATTTTTCTAATGTGAATTGAAGTCTTTGGTGAATAGAGTTAAATTTTTGTAATACGTCGGTAAAGAAAGCTTCTGGAACTGCCATTGCGATATCATCCACATATCTACAATAGAGTGGTGTGTGGAATTGTAATTTTTTTAAAGCTAAATTTTCTAGATCTTGTAGTACGATCTCGGCTATGATGGGTGAGAGTGGGGATCCCATCGGGAAACCAAATGTTTGTCTATAAATTATGTGAAAGTAAAATACGTTGATTCTAAAATAAACTTCAAGACTTTTATGAACTCTATGTGTGGTATATTGGTTTTGAGAGCAATGAGATTCCATCTATTTTCTATGCTTGATATCACTAAATCGATGGGAATGTTTGTGAAGAGCGAGATCGTACTACAAGATCTAGAAAATTTAGCTTTAAAAAAATTACAATTCCACACACCACTCTATTGTAGATATGTGGATGATATCGCAATGGCAGTTCCAGAAGCTTTCTTTACCGACGTATTACAAAAATTTAACTCTATTCACCAAAGACTTCAATTCACATTAGAAAAATCTATTAATAATGAACTCAACTTTCTCGACATAACCATAATTTTAAAAAATGACAAAATGATTTTTAATTGGTTTCACAAAACAACGTTTTCGGGAAGATATCTTAATTTTTTCTCCAATCATCCACTCAACCAAAAGAGAGCAGTGACAATTTCACTGATTGACAGAGCTTTTATTTTATCTCATCCGTCTTTCCACAAACATAACATACACATAGCAATTTCTTTGTTACTCTCTAATGGTTACCATTGGATTTTATTTTTAAAACATTAACTTCTAGACTATCTTACTTAATAAATAAAAATTCTGACAATCACACTGACCACGGTACCACTAACGATAAACCTTTTCTCTCTATCCCATACGTTCCTGACATATCCAACAAGTTCAAATCGCTCTCCACAAGCATGGAAAAAAGGAT